TATACCAAAATACCCCTCCCCCAATCCGTCACCACCAGCACCTCCACCATCGCCATCAGCCCCCTCACCACCCCTCCTCCTCACACATCCACAAACACCGCCCCACACCCCGCATCCATCCACTCCCGCCCCAGCCTCACCACAAACACATCCCCGCAGTAGAACATGCTGTCAAAGATGCCGCCCTCGCCCAGCGCCTCGTCAAGCACCGCACGCACAACCGGCATGCGCAGCAGCGTCTTGTTGGCCGGCTTGCCCGCGCCCGTCGAGTAGTAGAGAATGAGCTCGCCGCCAATGTACGGCGGAAGCACGCACCGCTGGATTAGCCGGTCTTGGTAGGTGCCGGGCCAGTAGGGCGCAGGTCGGCGACGTCGTCGAAGCCCTAGTCGTCGCCCGGGGGGAGGGTGCATGTTTTGGCGGGGGTGTAGGGAAGGCGCTGGACGGGGGAGCCGTCGGCGGGAGGCGGAGGCAGTGGTAGGTGCGTGGTGGGGGCATGGTGGTTTGGTGGTGGGCGGGGATGGAGGGGGAGGGGGGGGGAGATGGGCATCCCGTGGCGTCAGGCTTGGTGGCGGGACTTCGGATGTGATGCGGGGTGCAGGCAGCAGGGGTAATGGCAGGGGTGGCCGGGTGTAAGCGAGCGTCACGTGGGGGGGTGGGTGGTAATGATAATTTTACCTGAGACCTGCGACTGGACACTGACGAGCGCAGGAAGAATCCATTCCCGCTCGCGAGATTTTTCAAGCTCAACTTCTCGCTAAGCCTTCTCAGCGCATCATCGCACCACCAGCCGTCCAGACCCCATCTTTGTTTCTATGTTTAGTTTATTAGCTTCGACCCAGAATTTTAAATTGATCACCGAAAAACTCCACAAAATTCTCAGTATGAAGACATCTATATCGTCTTAGGCAAATTTATTAATGAATTATCAACCAATCAATATCCCGCTTTAGGCGCGGCGGAAAAGACCGCGATTACAAACCCCGGAGCCCTCGGCAAGACCGACCCTGCTATATTGACAATTACAAAACATAAACCTTACTATGACAAGACGAGACGAGACTATGCTCTAATCTCGTCTCGTCTCGTCTTGTGCTGTCCTGTGCCCATCACTAATTATAAGCGGATCTTTGTGTCGATTAGAGAAAAGAATCGACGATAAAGCACCCCCGCAGAAGTTTTTACAGAAACCAGATAACACACACATGCATAGGGGAGGATTCCAGCATACAATACCGAGCCCGCTGCAGCATTCGACCACCCCGCCCCGAAGAAAACCCCCCCCCAAAACAAAAACCACCCCCGGAAAAGCCACCCCCTACCTTAAACCCCTTCTCATGTAACCCAACCACATCTTAGTCCACATACTCTCACCCAGAACTCAGCTAGCGGATAAGGCAGCAAGACAACGTGGCCGAGCGGTTAAGGCGTCAGACTGGAATTCTTCATTCTATTCCGTCATCTGATTCCTTCGGGAGCGTAGGTTCAAGTCCTGCCGTTGTCGGTTTCTTTTTTTTTACTTTTTTTTCCATTTCTATATGGAAATCGGAGTAGCAGAATTTTAATTTTTGTGGGTTAGGGTTTGGAGTTGGTTAGGGTTATCACTGGAATAGGGCAGTCGAAGTGCGTAACTGAGCGGGGGAGGAGTGCGGGGATGCCTCTAGCACGTTGAGGTGTCCAGCTACGACTAGAAGGAGTCGTTAATGCGGTAATGGCGGTAATTATAATTTCTTTTCCTGGCGGTATTAGTAGAGAGGGGCGGGCGGGGCTTCCACTAAATTCAGCACCAAAACTGCGGGCCCTGAGAACATTATCCGCCAGAACCATACGTAAGCAAGCAGTACACGAAGACCTCGCAAGTCGCGGCGAACAGCTTCGGTGAAGATTAAGCCAGGATTTCCATAGCACACAATACGTTTCCAACAGCGACTACATATATATCTTCGCTATAATGAAAGAAGCAGTGCTAGTAGACCAGATATGTGAGAGAACGGACGGGCACATACTGAAATCGAGGATTGAGCAGGTTAATTCTGCCGGCGGTGATTGTTAGAAAAGCTTTCCGCTGATAAATGCGGTTGATCAGTATGTGATATTTGCTACTTTTTTACTTTTCTTTTTCTGTTGATTTTTTCTTTTTTTTTTCAGCGCACTTGGCGATATATATGTACAGATATATTAACTAATTTTGTTTCTATACCTCTAATTTGCAGTCATTCGATGAGTATGTACCTGTGTTACCCCTTGTACCTTTTCTCACCCATTCTCTTTTCCGCCCCCCCCCTTTCATCTTTTGTTTCTTTGCCTTTATCTCGACGTACCCCCCCCCCCGCGCCCCACTCTCTTGCACTCTATGATGACATGCTCCCGTGGCTAATCGGAGTTGTATGTCAGGGGGGTTCGATTCTTGTAGACGATGAAGTCTGGTTTTTCCACCGGCCCTTTTTTGCTCAGCACCTGTTTGGGGAAATGGCCAGTGCTAAGCGATATTTCTGTAGCGTTTAAACTTGTAATATTGTGGACCGGATTCCCTTGACTTTGTTGGCTGATGATGCCTTCAAGTCTACAGAGAATCCTACCCTATTTATGCATGTTGGAACCTATGCCAAGGCCGCTTTCTCATACTATCTAGTACTACGATGATAGAATAACATAACAGCCCAAAGATAACAAAGATAGAAAAGTGCCCCTGCATAGTCCCATCCTCCATTCTAATTCCGATACGTAACCATGAACCTTGCAATTGACAGTCATCGGGCTGTATCATACTATTGTCCTAGACCTACTTCCCTAAGCAGAACAGCCTGTAGCTGTACGCCCCACTTCTATTCTGTTCTGGGTGAGACACCCAATAGTAAGCATGCTGTCACAATAGCCTATTACAAGTGTGGTAACACCGCGTGCTCCCACACTACCCGATACCTTCTATGCTTGTCCTTCTATTACCCCACCGTTCTCGCATCATGACTCATCACTCATCTGCCTCACTGTCCTTCGATTTAGGACAGTGTTCCGTGATTTCTGTAACAGCACCGTTGTAAGCTTAAGGTTATGTCATTTTCCTACGAACGTTAGAAGTTAGTGTTAAGTAGAGAAGTGTAGGGAGGGTTAAAAGTATAGTATAGTAGAGTGGTTAAAGAATGGGAATAAGATTAGATTATACCTTCGATATAGAGTATAAACTGAATCTATAGAGTAGGGAGATGTCGGGAGTTGAAGGCGATGAACGGTCATCTTCATAACGTCGGCTATCTTCTTTGACTTCTTGCATGATATATAGCGTGTTTTATTGAGCGCAAATCGTGCTGTTCAACAATAGACAAGTTGATGTGGAAGAGGTATAGGTTTAAGAATGGAATAAGATAATACCCCCGATCGATAACAAGAGTATAAAGTGGAGTTGGGAGAAGTCGGAGATTGGATGCGGTGGTGAAGCATGTGGCATCAATTGCCTGCATGCAGCTGGTGGAAGGAATGCGATCGAGCCGGAACATGCCAGAGAATTGAATGCGATAAAACAATGTGGTATCGAGCGGTCTGGTGGGGAGAATGGGGAGTCTTTAGATACCTTTTGGAACAGTCGAAAAACAAGCTTCTCCTTCATGGCTGTTTACTATCATTTCGGTGACATTATTCGCTGAGGGGCCGGGCTGTGCTTATCTTGACCCCATCGGGACTACCTACCGCCCAAACTCGAAAAATTGGCTATCTCCGGCCAGGGATTATCGCTCTAGTGGTTGGTTGAATGGCATCTGCATCAGAAGTTTCTCATATAAGTATGGCGCGAGAAGGCCTAAAGGGCAGGTGTGTCAACTTCAGAGGAATTTCGTTTGTATGGGAATCTGAGAAAATGCCAAGGTTAGTCTAGGCGCTAGTACCATTATGGCCAATTTCTATAAGTTTGATTGGCTGGTTCTTTAAAAAAACGCCGAAGTTTACACACCTACCCCCGATAGCTTCTCGAGCCATAGTTATGGCGGTACCGCTAAATCTCGAGTTATTCGGGGGGTTGCCAAGCTCAGGTGCTAAACTACATTTAGTTTAGATCCTGCAGAAGAGGGCTGTTTTATTGAAGATCTCTGCCTCTAAAGGTGAAGATCCTCAGCTTTTTGCCTTGGCAACCCCCCGAATAACTCGAGATTTAGCGGTATATATGCTTGCCTTACAATCTTAAAGATGACATGTCAGTTTGGTGGATCAGGCTTGGCGGACTAGTGCTGCAACGACGATCAACGACGGGCCGGGCCGACAATGTAGGCTTTTACCCGCACTCACTGCTGAGTCGATATACAACGCCCTATGTGTATCCTGCCAAAACTCAAAAAATTCACTTTCTCCGTCTAGAGATTATCTCACGCACGATTGGCTGGATAGGGTCGTTCATTAACAGATATCGCTGATTGGCATGCAGGGTTAGGGTTGCGATCTCTCGGCCAATCGGATTCCAGGCACTTATTTTTGATGAAATTCTCGATTCCAAACTCGCAGAATAATAGGTAGTAGCGGCCGCCTGACGTACTCATAGTAATTTAGATGAACTAAGCTAGTCAACCATCTATCTTTTGATGGCGGTATTATCTGGTGTATGTGTGGCCTAGTATGAATATCAACCAAGAACGACTTATCTCGTCCGCTAGTATGCCTTGCGTTGAATTAATATTGCGCGTAATAATAATGCCTCATTCCTAATAGTCTTTCTAGAATTTAGAGTTTTGGGACGGGGAGGGGTGCAAGAAATATCTATAGGTTCCTATTAGTTCCGAATGAAAATATATTCGGTCCTCCTGGAAACAAGGGATGAACCACTGAAGCTGACCTGGGTTAATATAGATGGATCATGGCAATGAATGTAGTTGTGCTTTGTTGTATGTGATTCGGAGATTGAATCAACTTTATCCTCAAGGCTCCGCTAACTTCGGCATCAATCCACCCACCAATACAAATTGTAACAAGAATCATCATCACTAAAAGAAGCTATATTATCGTCGTGATCTAACAGATATTTAGTCGGATATCTTCTGGAACGTAAGACATCCATCTGCCCCGGTCAACCATGGGTTCGACAAAGTGCTGATCGCCGTCGGCCTATCCTGCGGACCCCCAGCGAGAAGCCCCTTTACAAATTCGATCGCATCGTCTTGTATATTTGAACTCCTCAGAGTCTGCGTCGGGAAATCCAGCTTGTCCTGGCAGTACTGGATCAACGAGGCCAAATCGGTCCTACGGTTCGGTAGCATATGCGCAACAAGCCCGGAGTACTCCTCTGTCGGGTTGGATGACTCGAGGATGGTAAAGGGTAGCTCTGATGTCAAAAGCTCACAAACCAGTATTCCGAATGGCATATATCTAAGACAAAATCGGGGAACTTTGGTTGATTTAGGCCGCTGGATATAATGCCGATTGTCTCGGGTGCGCTGTATAGTGCGGTTCCACAACGAGTGGTCAAAAAGGTTCCAAGCGCTTGTTTCGATACCCCAAAATCGGTAATTTTGACTAAGATAGGATTAAGGCATGCAACTAGAATATTCTTCGGGCTTGAGTGAGTATATATTACGGAAGTAATACTCTAGAATGGTACGAACACCTACCTGTGGCTTTATATCGCGATGATATATATGCTTACTATACATGACTTCGAGCCCCTCCAAGGTTTGAATCGCTATGCTTTTGGCGCTTGACAGGGACACGCCATGTTGATGAATATAGACCCTTAGATCTCCGCATTCCATGTATGCCATCACCAAAACATGAACATGCGTCCTAGATCCATATACCAACCAAGGAATTGGACGAAAAGATGGTCGTACTGGAGTAGAAAATTTAGCATATGTACGTGGAAACGTGCTGATATGATGAGAATAACCTAAATAAGATCAATTAATGCCTTCAATTCTTGAGACCCTTCCTTCGGTGGTTGTACCGCTTTAACAGCTCGCAAAGTTCCCCTCTCACATTCCCGTTGCAGATAAACACCTCCTGCTGACCCCCGTTCAATCTCCCCTTTCAAGTCCCAAGTTGATTTCCTCCTAAAACCGCTTGACAGCTCTTCTTCGTGTACCACATAACCATTGAAATGTTCCGTGTTCATTCTATAACTTTCAATATCTCCATCTGCGTTTGGGAAAAGTGGCTCCCTCGCGCTTTGTTTCTCAGCGAGGTGGGCAAGAGGATATATATGTAACAACGAATCAAGACCTTCCCCGGACATATCCGGCTCTTCCTACCCTTCCGAAGATTGAATAAAGGGTGACTGTGAGGCTTCTGTTGGGGTGTGAGGCGAGAGAGCGGTTGGTCCGAAGGTGCTGCCTTTGTTCATTGAGTTCAACAAATGCTTCAAGAACTCAAGCTGTATGCGTATGTCACTCATCTCCCGGGTAGGGAGACCAATGGTAACCCTGGCGACTACGTCATTCTATGTAAGAGAAGCACACACTCTGAGGGAGACTCACATGGGTTCGAAAGCACTTCGTAAATTCTTTACGTGTTGGTCAATCCAGTTATTACGTTCCTCATTGAAATTGATTCTGGATCTGAGTGCTCTAAGTCCCTCGGGGTCTCTCTTTAAGGGTGTCAAATACTGTAGCAGGTACTCCGATGCAAACCTAGACGACCCCCCAGAAAGATCATGGTTCATGAACAATTCTTCGATGATCATAAGTTGACGATTGAGCTCCTGAATACGCCGTGGAATCAAGACCCCCGCAGGAGTGTCTGTCTCTACGAGTTGTAGGAGAATTGACTGAATGCCTGACGTATGCTCTCTCAGTAAAGTACTGGTATCCATGGGGGGCGGTGTGTGTGTATCTTAGAACTGGTGGTGTTCGTAATTGCGAAGAGATGATCTACTGATGACGTTGTCCCCTTAAGCTTTCACAAGGATCTTTGTCTTGGTTAGCAAACACTGCAGCCTTGGGTGGCCCATACGCCCCAGGTCCAAGGCGTTATCTTTTAACCACAAGGACAAAAATATTTAGAAACAAGGGAGGTAAGTAGACGGCTACATACTTATCGTATTAATTGGAGAGAAACTATGTATACCGACACTACGAGTGCATGAGTTCTATCATAGTCTCTAGTAGCGCTGGGTAACGAATCAGGTAATGAATCGTTTTTATCACGTAACGGTTGTGTAGGAAATGTGTGCTGGGAAAGTGGCCATCTGGGCCATAGGCTATGTCCCGAAGAAATGAATCCGAGTTACCTGTAGAAAGGCATCCGAGAAATGAATCGATAGTCTCGTTGGACACCTTTCTTGACCAGTTTCTTGACCAGTTTCTTGACACAAAAACCGTCTCATATTGCCAAAAGTGGTAGCCATATGCGGTACTACCTGGTGTCTACAGCGTAAGTAAATGAATCATTTAGATTGGGTGGTTAATGACATCGGGAAATGTCACGTTTTTACTATGTGTTAACGAATCAGTAAATGAATCCCTGAGTTTAATATGCCCCTTTATTTGACACATTAAATAATGATTAAACACATTGCCAAAAAGCAATAACAACGCTGCTGGCAGTGGGGATCGAACTCAAGCAATTAAGTAACACTTGCTACAGTATACCACTTACGCCACATAAGACAGAATAATTAGAGGTTCATGCATAAATAACCGGAACATAGTGGAAATGTGCAAAGAAAATACTACTTTAATGCATTTTGAAAAGTCACTCTGTAAATGCATCACTTGGGGTTGTAAATGAATCACTTGTGTCATTTACCAACGACGTCCTCGGTAAACAAATCAATTGATCCATTACCCTATTCGCTTTGGTAGGTAATGCATCAATTGATTCATTTACATTGCTATTAGAGTGTAAAAAAACGAAAAATAGAGGAACTGAACCTAGGTTATTCTATTCAGCTAACAAAACCTAGAATCTATCACTTGAGCTATGAATAATTATAGTTCCTACCTATCTGTGCTTATATAGACTGAAATCATGCGACTTCATCAGGATTTCACTGAATTTCACCAAGTCCGGATTAATGCATCATAGAAATGCGTTATGCGAATGCATCATGGAAATGCATCAAACGGCCCTGGAAATGCATCCCCCGTCCCATTTCCAACCGATCCCGTTGAGAAACGAATCAAACGATTCGTTTCCCAAATCTTCCTTGCAGGGAAAGGCATCGTTTGATTCATTCCCCGACCTACTAGAGAGTGGAATTAGAAGCCGTCCAGCAAATGCAGCTTCGTAGAACACGCCAAGACATGGACTAAAAACTTGCTTAACCTGATTATTCTGGAAAGCACCACTGACTTTGTTACAGTAATAAGGCCTGAAGAGCTTCGAGTACACGATAGAGATGTATCAACTATTTACAGAAAATATAGGATTCTGGCCGCACCATAACCCTAACCCTGAATGTAGTTCCCAATGTGCTTATGGCGGGCTTCTAGACTGCGTGAAGATAGATTCCCTCCGAGCATGAAGATAATAGGCGGGTCCATCCTTTGGAGATCAGCAACTCAGGTGGTAGTTTGGTTATATGTATCTCCGCCTTACAAGGTTGTTTGTCATTTGTTTATTATGCACTACGTCTATACATGCCCTGTATCCGTATCGAGATTAGTCCTTAGATGCTACAATCCGTAAGCAAAGACCTCCAAAGACCTAGTTCATAGGTAGCAAGAGAGGTAATCTAGGGTGGAGCGCATATTTGAGCACTTTTCGACTTATCTACTTATAGATCATACCACGAAAAGCTTATTTTGTTCAAGCCCCACAACACTCTCGTAATTCTTATCTTTTTATGCGCTGACAGGATATTTACCAGCTGACTATACAACTGCTAAACCGATCTCATCCTCTTCTGTGCTCCTGCAAAAGGAAAGTCCGACGCCAATGCCCCGGTCCCGCATACATGAGGCGTAATATATATTGCTGTTCTTTCCGGTATCGAGGGCACTAAGTCTCCGGGTTATGTGTCGGCTGTTTTCTAGCATTATTTTGTGAGGACTTAGGTTAAGAGTTACAGGACCCAGTACTTCGCGTCTTTGGTACTGGAAAGAATAGCTACTACTAGAGCTCATTGGAGTGCATTAATAATCGCAGGTTCGGTAACAGAATGTATTTAGATCTGGACTGACTGCCGAAGGGATACCTTAGCGAGCTCTGTGGTTGGGACAAGCCCTCCTGCTAGCGTTGGCGTTTGAGAAGAACCTTTGACCACTGTTTTATGGCTCATCACCCAGACTGACCTGGTTGGTTCGGCCGTAAATTCTCGCCTCCTGACAGCTGACGCCCAATCATAGTGCTCGCTACGACTCCACGGTACTCTAGGTGTCGCGCCACGGTTTGGTTATGATTGGAGATGCAAGGATCATTTGTCATACCCGAGTAATTGCTGCCACACCAAGAAACGATCGCCCATACAAATACAAACTCGATTAAAGGGCGCTAGCATTGGTAAACGAAGGGGTAGTCGTGATGCATTTGCAATTGGATCCTGTTGCATCATAGATAGATACTTGTATATATCCATGTATCTGTAACTGCCACTCGCTATCATTAGCGGGATATATCTTCCTGCTTGGAAGCTGATTCCGTTTATTTGCCGGATCAATGTCGATCTCGGGTGGCTTTGATATATCAGCGAGCAATCATAAACTTAAATTTGAATAACACCTTTTCCCGAACGACCCATTGCAGGAAGTAGCAGCAGAACCACATAGACATCTGCGATTTCTTCTTCTCCCGTAAAGACGACTTGGTTGACTTCTATCTTTCTGACGTAGACACCTGAAGCACGAGACACTGGTGGTGACTTGTGAATCCAAAACTAGGGCTTATGAGATACTTGAAGTTAGAAAAAGGCACAGACCTTACAAATGGCAGTGCCTGACAGTATATAAGAATAATAGTAATAGAGACAATCTCTTTCGTGTGAGTGTAGATTTTTCTTTTTTTGACATCTCATTCTCTGACAACCAGGAAAAGGTTTGGGAAGATGACCTCCCAACCCAAACAGAGGTGCGCTGGATGGTAATGAGGCCAATGGGAAAGCTAGCTCGCGATCGACTAGTAGGTTGTTCCGATTTGTGCACTTGTTTTCACCACAAGGAACCTGCAAACATTCAAAAAATGACTAGTCAGCCTTAAAACAAAAGCAACTAGTAGCCGGCCTGGCCATGTCCTCTCTTGCCAGGTGTGGTATTGCGTAGAATGGGGGTTTGGTATGGCGGATTGCAAACATTACAACCATTTTTTCCAGGGTATTAGTTAGCCCGGCATAGCATCTTCATCTGACTGTTGGGAAAGGCAGATATACGGAGGATCTCGTAGGGGACAATATTGCTGTAGGAGATCTGGGTATTATTATGGCCCAATACCGTCTAAAGTCGCAAGGTTGGCTATCTGCCTACATGTCCAGGGATTACCACATGAGTGATTGGCTCACCGGTATCGATCCGCACCCTCCCATGCAAGTAATTTAGATCTAGCCACTTTTCCCAGGTATGGAGGTATACCTATGTGGATATACTTTGACTATACCCGAGACAGGGTCGAAAGCTTATTAGATTATTGATGCAACCTTTATTCCTGATCTGTTTTGGCGCCAGTTAACGCCGAGCACGCGCACAGATGTACTGACCACGACTCCCGGTGATGATTATCTGTCCCGAGTATCTGCTCTCTACCATCATTCATGGATGCATCAAAATCCTTGAGGCGCCTTTAACCTATCTAATTTGAAAATGTACAGGCGAATCGACACGTGCTACATAGGTATGGCCACTTTGAAAAAGAAAAAAAAAAGGCGTGCTATCAATCGATCATACAAATCAGATTACAATATACTTCACCACACATAAATGATAGAGAAGTCTCGGAATACTGAGTACAAGTCGGTTTATTTAGGTGCAGGATCAACCTTTATGGAATTGGACATTGGGCAGCTTTATTCGGCGGAAGAGTCTCTCGACTGCGCAGCCGCGGCGATCCCAGACTATGAGCTAATCAGGGAAACATGTGGTAGAAAACAAATCAAGAAAAGGACCATTCATTCCAATGACTGGTTATTATGCCATCCCCTCGAGATTGAATATAGAGGTAAGGGTTCAGTGTTGTCGGAGGTGGTGAACTTATATCTCTTCAGGGTTGTCAAATTCTCCCACCCAAAGCGAATTCGAAACCCATAGCCTACCTAGAGAGCTAGAGCTCTCCCAGCCCATCTGAACGCATGACGGAGTTATAGATTTTAACAATAACTCTCAAAATCCTTTTACCTCTATTTTAACGAAAGGAAGTGGCGTCCCCACAACCCCCCTCCTATATTTACTGTTACTTGATCGACCCACTCTTCTCTCGGCGCGGTGTGAATATAACATACCCACTAGCCTAGAGGTCAAACGTACCTGAAAATATCGATGGACTACACGAATTCCACCCAGGGGGTACCCTTCGATCGTGAAAGCAGGGTTTGTCGGCATTCAGATTGGATGGATGTATTCACATTCCTCGCTCTCGACTTCGGACTTCGCACGGTCACCGTCCTTACCCCTCCCGGAAGTACTGGACTTCAAAGCGCTCTTATCTGCCTCTGGTCTCTTATTAGTCCCGCCTATGGTGTTAGGAGGGCGCTTCTTGCAATCGGGTTCCCGGAAACCGAAATGGGAGACAGTGAGCTTGAGGAGTCCCTCAAAAAGGCGTGGCTGCGTCTTACAGCAAGGTTTACGGGCGGAAAACGAAGCGAACTGGAGATGGCCCTCAGGTCCGGGACCCTGTGCATGCTAGTGCCTTCCTCGGTCAGAATCGGATCATCCCTAAAACCCGAAT